CACTCTGCCCAGGCTGGTGGCAGTGGGCTGTCTGTCTGTTGTTGGGCTGACCTGGGGCTGCTAACCGTAAGACCAGAAATTAGGAGCCCACCAGCCCACCAGTGCTGTGTGGGGCCCCTGTGAGTCAGACTTGGTGCAGCAGGTCTGGTCAGGCTCTGGTCTGAGCCCTCTGCCCCAGCCATGGGATCAGCCAACTTCTTTGGGGGTGACCCAAAGACTGGCATATTGTAGTGGGCAGTGAGAGGCCACTGTGAGCGGTTAGCCTGAGAAAATCCACAACCCTGAGGGAGGGTGGCCCTCGGAGGCCACCTGGCAGTCCCCAGAGAGTGGGCACGGGCCTGGGGGCCACCTTTCTGGCGGCCTGGCTCTGGAATCCTCTTGGGCAGAAGCCCCAAACATCGGCATGAACAGTTTCAACAAGGTCACACACTGAGAGCAGCATCGCAGCCGGATAACCATGTGCCCACCCTAAAGTCGGGGTTTGTCCTCCTCAGACCCCCAGCTGGCTCCTCTCTGCACGAGGCTCCCCAATCCAACTCTCCCTGGTGCCTTCCTCCCACCACCCTCGGTCAGCCCTGCAGCTGGACGGCTGGTGCTGTGGGACCTTGTTTGTGCTGCCCCATCTCTGCCCACTGAGAAGAAGAGGCCTACCTTTCCCCAGAGACTGTCCATCGTGTGGCTGCGGGCCTAGGGACAGGCAGGAGGGGCCCCTGCTGCTCTGACCCATGGCAGGGCCATGGCGGGCATCCATGGAAGCCCCACCCCACCCCATCCCGGCAGTCAAGCCTGGACTCCCACCGGCCCCCACGTTTGTCAGCGAGTCTCAGCTCCACTACAGACTCATTCTTCCCTGGCTGCTCAGCAGGGCGCGCCCGAGAGTCTACGCTCAAAACCCCTGCCAACTCGCAGTGCCAGCAAGTCCATGGGGCAGGGTGGACTGCCTCTGAGGTTGTCCACACTGCCTGCGACCCCGACTCAGAGCAGCCCCATGGGGCAGCCTCTGGGGGGTTCGGAGACTGTAACTCTTCAGAGGAGTAGAAAGCCTCATCTGTCTGCTGGCGGTTTCAAACTGACCTTGAGGTTAGCAGAACCTGGCAGGTGACCACCACACCAGCAATGCCTGGCAAATCATAGCCATGTTCTCTGTCCCCACCAAAGGACAGGATATTGACCATGGACACATGGCTGATGCGGTTCCCTCCTTCAGAGCTGCTCTGCCCACACATGCCAACAGTGGGTCCTCCACCAGCACCCGGGAACAAGGGTTTGTGAGCTCTGCAGGGGTCATGCCCTCTCTCTTGGGGCACCTATGTAAGGGCCTGGACCAGGAAAAGCCAATCTGTAGCTCACAGGGCCCTGTGCCTGAGGACTACCTGTGTGTACAGCAGCACAGGGATTGTGCTTATGGCATGTAAGAGCAGGGACACACATATGCATGGGGACACATGTCCCAGGACAGTGTGAAGGGAAGCATACATGTGCACGGGGATAGATGTGCCAGGACAGCTGGGGGGTGCGGGGGGGGGGAGCCTAGGTGAGTATGTGGACAAGTGTGTAAGAGATGTGTGCGTGCATGGGGACATGCACACTGGCGTGCACACGTACATGAGCATGGTGTACACAGGGACTAGCATGTGCTTATTGACGCATATTGCTGCAGCAGGTGTGCACACAGAGGCACGTGTGCTCACAGACTTGTTCCCCACATGTGGGGCAGCATGCATACCACTCTAGGAGATGGGTTCCAGACCTTCCTGTTCTACCTGGACCCCAGGCTCCCCCATCTCTCCCGGGTCCCCACCTCCCCATCCCCCAGACCCTAATGCAGCCTTCCCCAGCTCTTCCATCCCTGAACCACCCCACCATCACGCTCCATCCCCCACACCCCTGGCCCCATCTCCAGCAGAAAGAAAGAGTGTCGCTCCCCAGCCATATGCTCTCGCAGCCCATGCACCTCCCATGAGGGCCCTGTGACCACTCTGTCTGCCCCCACGGTTACTTGCTTGCCCCTGGTGCAGAGCAGGCTGAGGGCTGGGTTCCTTGGACACCAGGGGACTAGCACACTCTCCTCCCCAGGTGGGCATCATGCTGCACTACGCCACACTGTCCACCCTGCTGTGGATCGGGGTGACGGCCAGGAACATCTACAGGCAGGTGACCAGGAAGGCCCCGCCTTGTGCCAGTGCCGACCAGCCGCCCTTCCCCAGGCAGCCGCTGCTCAGGTACCTCGTCCACACAGCCCCCTCCAAGCCGGGGTCTGAGGGCAATGGCTCCATGCAGGTCCCTCTGGCTAGAGCACCCCGGAGGAGGCAGGCTGGGAGCTGCTGGTGGGGTCCTCCCCCTCCTAGGATGTCCCTGGAACATGGGGCAGGATGGGTGCAGAGACCTGGTAGCCATGGGCAGTCCCCTGGGGTGAGGGCTGGATGCTGAGCCAGGCTGCACCCGCTCTGGGAGATGAGGCATGCAGGTACTCCTCGAGAGCATGCCCCCAATTGTGACCAGACAGCAGCTACCAGGGCTGGGCCTCCAGGGGCTTTGCTGACAAGCTTTTCTGACTCAGGACAGGCAGGATCCCAGTGGGCAAAAGCCTGGCTTTGCCTCCGTGCCAGGCAGAGTGTGGGCCTGCCCTCAAAAACAGGCTGTATCTGGCCCATAGACCACCCCAAGCTCTCTGAGAAGCTGGCCCCAGAGGTAGAGAGAGTCATTTAGGAAACTGGCCCTCAGGCATCTGGGGCGGGTGGGAATGTGGGACCACAGCAGGTTGTTCTGAAACCTGAAGGCCTCCTCCTGATTGACCCAGGCCCACCCGAGCCACCCAGGGCCAGCAACTCAATCACAGCCACAAAAAGCCTTCCCTGCAACATCTAGAGAAGAAAAGCCACATGAGCACCCTGGAGCCTGGAGCACAGAGCCTGGAGCACATAGCAGAGTCCAGAGCATGGAGCACAGAGCACAGAGCATGGAGCACAGAACAGAGTCCAGAGCATGGAGCACAGGGCACAGGGCACAGAGCATGGAACACAGAGCACAGAACATGGAACACAGAGTACAGAACATGGAGCACAGAGCAGAGCCCAGAACATGGAGCACAGAGTATGGAACACAGAGCACAGGGCACAGAGCACTGAACCCATGGCACAGGGCACAGAGCACAGGGCACAGTAGGCACAGGAAATCCACCACCAAGCCTGAGCCTCAAAGGCCCTTCCCGGGAGGGGCTGGGGCCACCAGGGCTAGACTTCCAGCTGCTGGCTGACACTGGGCTCTGTGGGGTTTGTGACTGCTCACCCAGGTGACTCACATGGCATAGCGGTGGGCTCCCCGGCCTTGTGGGCAGCTCTGGCCAGCCCAGTGCATCCCCATACCTCTGGGAAGTGTCATTTGAGGTAGATGGGATGATGGCCCATGTTGTCTGAAGAGGCACAGTGATGTCTGCTGAGTGTGTGACTGGGGAAGCTTGATGGCTAGGTCCAGTCACCATGTCACCCCTTGGCAGCTGGCCAGACAGCAGCTCTGCACCCTGAGGGTCAGGCCCACCATCCCATCTCCCCGTGGGGGCCTCGGGCCCCTGGGATCAGGCTGCTCTCCGGGGCCTCCGGCAGGCTGTTCCTGTCCTCTCTGCTGCTTTCCAAGTGCACATCAAGTGTCCAGGCAGGCTCAGGTTCAGAGCCATGACCACAGCAGACAGCAGACAATGTGGGGTCACTGCCACAGGTGTGACCAAGGCTGGTTGCCTTGGTGGCAAGGGGAGGACGTCGCAGTGCTTTCGTGGTGAAAGGGCTGAACGTGACCTAGTGGTCAGAGGCCTCCAGGGGCCACCAGGTGACTGTGAAGATGGAGCCAGAGGGATGGATGAAGGGAGGCTTGGAAAAGTCTTCCTGGGGAGCTTGTGCACTAGGGCCACTGGAGGTGGCAGCAGTGGACACAGGTTGGCTCCATCCCTGTGGGAGCTCACTGGAGGTGGGCAGCAGTGGGCACGAGGCTGTCCCCCTGCATGTTCGGGTTTCTGCCCTACCCTCCCACCACAGAGCAGGTGTGACGCTGTCAGGGCATAGGTCTCCGGTGTGGGGTCCCTGTGAGGTGCTCCCGTGATGGCAGCCTTGAGGGTCACCACATCCATATGGGGTGTGGTATGAGGGACAAGCAGTGGCTTCAGTGGGACAGTGATGAGAGGGCTGAGACAGTCAGGGCAGAGCAAGAGGGACAGGGTGGTGAGTGGGCGAGCTGGTGTCCAGGGGAGAGGTTGGGAGAGGCAGGGGCATGGGAGGGGAAGCTGAGGGTTCCCTGAGGGGCAGGGGGCTTGTGGCCCTCAAACAGTAGCATCCCCAAGCTCAGACCAGCCACTGGGCCTGCATCTGTGCCCTCACCCTAAATCCAGAGCCAGCATGGTCATCCCAGGCCCAGGGCCCCTGCGGGGACTTGCACTGAGCGCCCCTGGTGGCAGCAGAGGGGAAGGCCACACCGCATCTGGGAGGGAGAGGCTGTGGACAGCTCTGGGAGGGGGGGAGTACCTGCAGATGCCTCTGGGACGGAAGATGGGGGTCTGTTGTGCATGCAGCCACAGGTGAAGCCTCCACCCAGAGCACACACACCCCTTCCCCACCGACCTGGCGCCATAGCCACCCTGGGGCCCGCACCGACCACAGGAAGGCCCTCCCTAACTGCACTTCCTACCCTGCGGGTTCTGTTTGCCTGAACGGGTCACTGGGAGCCCCAGGCTGGTGGGGCCGGAGTCAGGCGGGGGCCAGGAGTCAGGTGGGCATGTACTCCAAGGTCCAGGGCAGCTCTTAGGGCTGATGGCTGTAAACAGGGATGGCTTCTTCCACAAGGTCCCTCAGGCAGACAGACGCTGGTCAAAGGCTGAGGGGGACAGGTGCTCACTGACTACCATCAACCCAATCCTTGGGCCAAGGGACAGCACCGCCTGCCTCTGCACACTCAGCTCCTGCACACTGGCTCCACACAGCCTGGGCCACAAGTGGCTGAGACTCCCCCACGTGTCACTGCTGCCGTGTCACTGCGGGAGGTCATGGGCTGTGCAAACGGGGTCATGTGTGCTGGCTGTGGTGGAGTTGTCCCTCCAGGGCAGTGTGGATGAGGAACCGCTCGTTGCTGCCCGTGGTGGGGCCATCCCAATGGCCACAGCCTTAGAGGTTTGAAATGATACACGTCCACTGCTGACAGCCCTGGAGCCACGCGGATGGCCAAACAGGCCTCAGGGGCTGAACCCGCAGCATACCCTCCCAGGGCCCTGGGCAGCCTGGGCCCGGCCTTCTGCTCTGGTTCCCCACAACTGCATGTGGCCCCTCCACATGCCGGGGTGGGGGGGTGGGCAGGCTCTCTGAGTGTGCTCTCTGACTTCCAGACCCCCGATCTCTGACTGAGGGGACCCCCAGTCTCTCTACCCTGTCCTCTTCCACCAGGGCCTCTGGCAGATATAAGAGGGTGGTAGTGATGACTTGGAGGTGCTGGGGGTGCGGGGACGGGCTGAGAGAGACTTAGAAATCCCCTCCCCCAGGCTGGGTACAGACCTGGTGGCTTGGTGGGAAGTAGCTGGGCGGTGGGGTCCTCAGAAGAGGAGACAACCCTGCTCCGCCATCTGCTGTCCATGTGCGGACTGCGCTTTACAGCCAGGCATCCATTCTGGGCTGGGAGGGAGGAGGTCACACAAAGAGCCCAGGACCCTGGACATCTCTGCCAGGGCCTCCCGAGCCCCTCCCTCCTGGTGACTAGGGATCGAAGTGCAGGTGGTCCTGGGTGGATTGGGGCAGAATATCCAGGAGCTTGGGGATGAGAACCCCCACTGGGAGCCCTCTGTTCTTACCCTAGCCTAGAGGCACCACCTCTGGGTCAGGTCTCCAAGGTCCCAGCCTCCTCCACTGGACTCAGCCCCCTCCCCAGGCAGAGATGCACCCTTGGGCAGGGACTTGCCTTTCACGGAGGTCCTCAGAAGGGTTCCCCACCACCACCACCACTAACACTTTACTGTGAATACTTGCAGGCCAACACAAAGGAGCTTACAGTAAGCCCCCCACAGGCCTCCCACTCAGCTCCTGCACTTATCACCACCAGACTGCACTCCCAGGCCCCAATCCACTGGACCCCAATGCTTCTCTGCACCCCCAGGCAGCTGCAGATGGCAGGACAACCTCCAAATGCTCCCTCGCCCCAGCATTCAGTCCCTGCTCACATCAAAGACCATCTCCCGCATTTCCTCTGAGCACACCCTACTTGCTGGGTGTGACCCACCCCAGATTCACTCTCAGGGAAGCGCAGTGCTGCTCGGTGCCCTGCCCTGTTTCCCAGCCTTGGAACAGCTCCCCTGCCGGCTGCTTTGTGGAAAGTCAGGCTCTGTTTCTGGACTCTGCCGGCCCCTTTGTCAGTTCTCTCTTCCTCCACCACCACATCGTGGGGTTATGAGACTGTCCCTTAAAAAACGGTATTGCAGCAGGCTGCGCCAGAGTTCAATGAAAACAGGTCACCAGTCCTTTCTCCACGCTCCCAGGATGTGTCCAACCCACCAACCTTTAGGCCAGCAGTCAAATGGGAATGGCCAGGCTACTGCAGGTCCGTCTCATAATGGAGCAGGGGTGCTCCTTCCCTAAGCCTGGTTCGCCGAGGTGTCTTGGTGGAACATTAGTTCTCAGCTTTGTCCGTGAGTTTGAGGAAGGCACTATGCTGCCTGTGTTTCTAGGTGGGGCAGTAAGTCTTCCCCAGAAATGACAGCATCCTGTCTACAACATGCCCAGGTATTGTTTGGTCATCTAGTCTAAGGAGATTTCCTCTCTCCTTGTAATGTCTGTTGGCTCCGGCACAATGATCCTGCCATCCCACAGGGTGAGATCACTCGGGGCCCTTCCTTCTCCACTTCCTCAAAGAGTTTGCTACCGCACCCCCTGCCCCTGCCCAAGGGCCAGGCCTGGCGTTTTCTTGGTTAGGCGGTTTCTCTTATTCTTGAATTCAGCTTCCGCACTAGACACAGGATACTCAGGATTTGTCAATCTTCTGGTTTCATCGTTGGTAGCTGGTATCTTTCCAAGGGATTTATCCAATCCTATAAATTGCCAGGTCTGAGGCCTTCGGTTATTCTGTCAACTTCTGAGGGGCACACAGGAGCAGCCCTGCTTGGTGCCAGCCAGCCACCTTTGTCCTCTCCCTCCTTCCGGCCATCTGGTAGGCTGACTCTCTCCTTGGTCTTTCAGAAGCCTTGGTCATCCCACGGTCTGTCGGTCTGCTCCTTGTGAATATCTCCTTCCTCCTGTGTTTACTGGGCTCAGCTGACAGGGTGCGTGTGTGTGTGTGTGTGTGTGTGTGTGTGTGTGTGTGTATGTGTGTGTGTCTCAAGTCCCCCTTTATTTCCAGTGTGGGCACCTCCTCCAAAGTGCTGCCCCCTGTACCCCAGGAGGTACTGCTTTTTCCCGCCATCATTCTGCTTTGGATATTTCCTGGATTCCCTTGTGGCTACTTCATTGACCTGTGAGTGGTTTAGAGGCACGTGTGCTGGGTTTACAGATATATTGAGATTCATCCTACATCCATCTCACTGTGGCCAGAGACCCTCAGGAGGCGGGGGCTAGGGGGGTGGGAAGGGGGGTGTTCCAGCCTTGAAACGTGCTGTGGGGGCAGTGTGCTGGTCTTCCACTGTGACAGGCCATGGAGAGCAGTGCCTGGGGAGTGGTGGCTGGCAGCTAGCCCGGCCACTGCGATTACTAGCCAGGCTTGAGTCTCCCTTTAGCTGGCTGGGGCCTCGCCACATCCTTTATCCATTTATGTGCCACACACACAGATACAGTTGTGAAGGTGGCCTTGTGGGTTCGCCCTGTTCCCGCTGGGAAACGGCCCTCAGTCTCAAGGTCTCTGGTTGGCTGGAACTCCCTAGGGTCATGGTTGGCACAGCCTTTTTCACCCATGTCCTTCCAACTCTCCTGCATCATTCTGTTCAAAATGCCCTTATGAATGGCAGTCATAAATAGATGAATGCCTACCAAAAACCCCTCCACGTGACGCCCATCCTCCCGCAGTGGAGCAGGCTGCCCTGAGGGGGTTCCAAGCCCATGATCTCCACAGACAGATGCCACTCCTTTTTCCCACAGAGCGGCTGGTGGCTTTGAATCACCAGGGCTCCAGGGATCCATACATGGAGAGCTACGATCTCAACACACACGGGCTAATGTAGCCTGCCTTTCCTTGGTTCTGACCCTCTTTGCCTTTTCCTTGGCCTGAAATGTGACTTGGATCGTTTTCTGGGTCAGGAAGGGGGGCTGTGGCACAGACACACGGAAGCCTCCATGACGACCCTTCAAGGAGGCAAGGCCCTTCCAAGATCCCGCCCTGCACTTGTGAGATCTGGAACCCCCAGCACTGGCCAGCCCTGGACACCACTTCCTGCAGGGGTAGGGGGGGACCTCAGACCCTGGCTGAGGCCAGTTCCCAGTGAGCTCAGCTGAGCGCCCAAGGCAGCCCCACCCCACCCCCCCTGCACACACAGCTGAGAAATTAACTGTCTCCTCCTGAGGGGTCTGGGTGTGTGTGTGGGGGGGGTCATCAGGTGGTCCCTGGGTCACCTGTACTGGGAATGCACCTCCCAGGCCTTGCTGTGGCCCCTGGTGGAGCAGGAGGAGTGAGAGCAAACGGCCCTGGGGGAACCCTGGGGGGCAGGACTTCAGACCCCAGGAACACTGAGGGCCAGCACTGCCCCAGATGCAGGCGCCCCATGCTGAGGTGTCCACCCTCTGGCAGGTTCTATCTCCTCAGTGGAGGGGTGCCTTTCATCATCTGTGGGGTGACAGCAGCCACGAACATCAGGAACTACGGGGCCGAGGACGGGGAAGCTGCATAGTGAGTATCTGACCGCTTAGGCCGGGCAGCTCCAAGGAGACCCGAGTCCCCACCAGTGGGGGTCCCCAGCTCCAGGAGCTGGGCTTTCCCCACAGAGACCCTCCAGGCCTTGTGGCTACTGAAGCCCTCCTGAAAGCAATGAATACCCACCCACCCTGCCCAGCCCCTCTCCTCACCCTGGGCTCACCCCATGGCCCCTGCAGAGAAGGGAGGGGGCAGGCCGCTGAGCACTAAATAGCCAGGAGGGGTGCACTAGGGAGAGGCGGTGGAGAGCTGCACCCCTTGGGCCTTTCCCGTGTGCAGCTGTCCCTGACAGCTGCCCCAGCTGCCCCTGCTGTCCACGCTGTCCTCCTCACAGCTGCTGGATGTCCTGGGAGCCCAGCCTGGGCGCCTTCTACGGCCCAGCGGCCTTCATCACGCTGATCAGCTGCGTGTACTTCCTGGGCACCTACGTCCAGCTGCGCCGCCACCCCGAGTGCAGGTATGAGCTGCGTGAACGCACGGAGGAGCAGCAGCGGCTGGCGGCACCGGATTCAGGCCCGGGCCACCGCGCGGGGCCAGGCTCCGAACCCTGCTGCGAGGGCCCGGCTGCCTCCTCTCTGCTGCGGAATGAGCACTCCTTCCGGGCTCAGCTGCGCGCCGCCGCCTTCACGCTCTTCCTCTTCGCGGCCACCTGGGCCTTCGGGGCGCTCGCCGTGTCGCAGGGGCCCTTCCTGGACATGATCTTCAGCTGCCTGTACGGGGCTTTCTGCGTGACGCTGGGACTCTTCGTGGTCATCCACCACTGCGCCAAACGCGAGGACGTGTGGCGCTGCTGGTGGTCCTGCTGTCCCGCCCGCCGTCGCGCCGGCGCCGATGCGGACTGCCTGCCGGACTCGCCACGCGCCGGCCACCCGGGCTGCGGCCACCATCCCGCCGGCCACTGCAAGATGACCAACCTGCAGGCCGCCCAGAGCCACACCCACTGCCTGTCGCCGACCACGCCCTGCTGCGCCAACATGCACTGCGAGCAGCTGCTAGAGGAGGCGGCGCTGGGCCTGGACGGCGCTGAGGACGCCTTCGGGCCAGGTCCGCCGCCGCACCGCTGCCTGCCCGGGAGGACTCGGCCGCCCATCTTCGGCCGGCCGCGGGCAGCCTACCACATCCCGGCCAGCCTGGACGGCAGCCCCCGCAGCTCGCCCACCGACAGCCCGCCCAGCTCGCTGGAGGGCCCAGCGGGCGCGCACACGCTGGCCTGCTGCGCCCAGGGGGACCCTTTCCCAATGGCTGGCCAGTCCGAGGGCAGCGTGCTGTACGGCTGCACCCCGCGGCCCGGCCCGGCGCACTTCGAGATGCTCCGCCGGACGCAGTCCCTGCCCTTCGGCGGCCCCGGGCAAAATGGCGCGCTCAAAGGCTCCTTGCTCGAAGGGCTGCCCTACGGTGCCGACAGCACCGGCAACATCCGCACGGGGCCCTGGCGGAACGAGACCACCGTGTAGGCGGGGCACACAGAAGCGCCCCACCACCTCGGGCGGGCCTGCGCCCCCGCGAGCTCGGCGCAGGGGCGTGGCGCAATGGGGATCGAGCAGCTCTGCGGTCAAGGACCAGAGGGAAAGCCCCTCCCCCCGCGCTGAGCCCCCTCCAAACCCTATCCCCACTGTCCCACACCGGCTGCCTAGGGTCCTGGGGAAGCGGTCCTAAGGAGTCCCCCGGCAGGCCCTCAAAGCTTGAGCACACCCCTCTGGCAGCCCCCACACCCTTCACCTACGCGCACGCGCGCACATACACACAGAGACCCCGCCAGCTGCTCCCTGGTTTCTGGCGTGGAACTTCTAGGTCCGAGGGGCTCTCCTGCAGCCCCGCCCGTTCCTGGGGAGCTGCCCCGTGGCTAGGGGCCCAGCACCCGAACCCCAACTGCTGCTCTGTGCCCCCCTGCCCCTAGGCCTGGGCCGCCCACACGGGAGCCCCACTTGCAACTCTCAGGTGGACATCTCCAGGGGTTGTCTGGGGGGCAGGCAGTAGGAGCCACCGCCTAGAAACGCCCAAACATGCTTCAGTGGCCCTTCAACCTGCCTGAATGCCACCCCGCTGGGCCTTGGGGACAATAAAGTTCTCTGTTCCAACAAGCCAAGTGGCTGGGGTGGCTCTTGGCTGTCATGTGCAACATTGCTCCGTGTTGCCTTACCATGGGAGCCTGGGCTCAAATGTCGGTTGATGACCAGTAGCCTGTCACAAAGAAGGGTGGGTTCCTAGGCCCCTCACGTTGGACCCCTTCATCTTATACACACATGCACACCTTTAAAAACACAGACATACAAGTCCTCACGGCCTTGCACACGTGTACACACTAATACACTCACGCATTCACACACATGCTTGTGAACGCTCACATTCTTCACCCATGTGCTCACTGTGACTGTCCTGAAACAGCCATGGCCCCTCCCACACATTGCGACCCTGCGGGGGACGCAGGAGAGCCAAGGGCCCAGATGGGTGGGCAGGTCTTGTGGGAGGTGCCTGCTGCCCTGTTATTGTAAACGTGGACATTGTCTGTGCCCTCACCACCGTGTTCCCCACCCATAGAGAATCCTTGTGTTATTAGAACCCTCAGAGGCCCCAGCAGCCTCTGCTCCCGCGGTGCCCGGTAGGTCACCTCCGCACCACTTCCATCGCTTTGCAGAGCTGGCTCAGGCGAAAGACAGTGTCTGCTTGTCACCGGAGGCTGGGCTGTGGCCTCTTGCTTGCAACAGGGGGCAGGCCACATGGGCAGTACAGACCTGTGAGCCCACGGCCCCTCAGTGGGACAGAGGACAGAGTGCAAGGGCATATCATCACGCAGACCAAAGAGCGTCTCACTGACCATTAAACCTTGGTGTGTCCACGTTTGCTTTAGCCTCATGAGTCCACAGGGCTGGCATGCCCCTCCCATGCTGCACCTCAGAGCACAGGGACCCTGAGGAGAGGGGAGCTTGGCAGGAAGCATGCTTCAGAAAGGACTGTAGAGGAGTAGGCCCCACCCCCATCCTCCCCTTGCTTTCTTCCATTATGTGTGTGTGTGTGTGTGTGTGTGCACATGCTTGCAAGGCATGCATATATGTGTGTTTGTGCTTACACATGTAAGTTCTTATGCATGTGTTTAAGAATACACGAAGGTGCATGTGATGCATGTATGTGTATATGCTTGCGTGTATGAGTGCTTATGCATCTGTGTGTGTGCGTGTGTGAGTATGTGAGGATGCATGTGTGTGCATTTGTGCACTCTCTCACCATGCAGGAGACTAGAAGTCCTGTGTTAGTCTGGGTACATTAAAGAAGCAAATCCACAAAAACTCATATGTGTAAGGGAGAGTTTTATATAAAAGGTAAGTAAGTGCACATCAAGAAAACATCCCAACCCAGTGCTGCCCATGTCCACAAGTCCAGCATTAGCCCATATGTCCGACACCAATCCACAAAGTCCTCCATCCCACAAAACACACACACAATGACGCCAACTGCAGGAGGAAAGCTGAATCAGTGAGTCTGTAAGCATCTCAACACTGGCAGGGGTCTCCATATGGGTGCTCCAGCACCCAGGGCTGCATCAGGGTAGATCCATGTGGCTTCTCCTTGGGGGTGTCTTGCAGGAAGTAAGCCTTGCCAGCTGAAGCAGGGAACTGGCTAAGGCAGCTGCACCCTAGTCCAACCATCACAAAGCAAGAGACCTGAGAACTAGAGAGGCAAAATTCACCAAGCCATTTATTTCTCCGCCCTTCAATTAAACCCACGTGTGTTTATCGGCCAGGTTGTCACAATAAACTTTAACTATGTCGAGTCCCAAGTCGGGGTGCCTGCTCTGGGGAAGTCATTCTCCGTAGGCTCTGGGACAGGCTCCTGTCTTCATTTTCTCTGGCCTCGTTCCCAGGGCACCTCCAGGAGCCCAAGCTTGCATATTGGGCCGCTCACCACAAGTTCAGGAGTTCAAAAGCCGCCATCCACTCCGGGGGAGAAAGATAAAGTTTTCTGCCATCACAAATTAGAGTCTTGGAAACCTACGGGGCAGTTCTCCCTGTCCTGTGGGTCCACCCTGAGTCAGCATATCTGGAGAGAGAATCCCCATTAGCCTTTATAACCCAAAACACATGGACTCAAGCCTTCTGCCCCACACCAATCCTGCCTGATGAACGTAGCCAAGACAACCCATTCCCAATGGAGTGGGAATAGCAGGGAGGATTGACAACACACAATTCTGGGCAAGATCTTTCAACCAACAGCATTCCACCCCAAATCCCATGACCTGGCCACATGCAAAACACACTTGCCCCATGACGTCATCCCCCAAATATTAAATCCACTCCATCTTCTGAATCAACTAAATTGAATGAGGGAAGCTCCAGGTGACTTCTGCCTGGGGAGTTGCTCATCTGAGCCGTGAACTCTCCCAACAAGCCACCTGGTTCCAGGATTTCCATCACACGTGTAAGACACTGGGAGGGAATGGGTCAATGGGCATCAGACAAGCCCCAGACTTCTTCCAACAGCACGGCTTTGCGCTGAGCTTTCCTAGCGGCCTTGAGGACAGTAACTGAAGTTCCTCTGGCCGCTCCCTGCCTGTGGAAGTAAGAGACACCCGGTGCTTTCCCTCCTTTTGTCCCTGTCGCCTAACCCGGGGTTTTCCGCTGTGTTTACAGCCATCAGTCTCAAGCTCCATCTCTAACAAACGATTATGCAACAGACTGGTGACCATTCTAGGACACACAGCCTTAGTTTGCACAACAGAATTTTCAAAACTTGAAGCCCCGGTTCATTTTGCACCATTCACTTTGAAATCCATCTCTTTCTTCTCAAATTGACGTATAAGCAGCAAGACGCAGCCGCAACACCTCTACGTCTGGCTTAGAAACCTTCTCAGCCAAATATCCAAGTTCTACCTTCCACCAAACAATCGAACATGATTCAGGTAAGCTCTTTGCGTAAGAAAGCATCACCCTTCTTCCGTGTTCGTCAGCTTCACTTAAAGCATGTGTCCAGCAATACCCTCCTGCGGGCATCACACAGAGTCTGCACAACACAGATTGTCTCTGCAGCTCTCCTCACAGAAATCACCACTGACGCCCCTAACTCTACCAGCAATCTCTGCCAGGCAGTCCAGGCCTTTCACTGGTAAACCCCTTCAAGCTCTCCCAGTCTCTACCTATTGCCTAATTTCAAGGGCACTTCCACATCTTAGCGATCTGTTATGACAGCACCCACTGCTTGACACCAATTGCTAAGTATCTGTTTGCTGCTGTGACGGGGATGCCAGATCCGGGAAAGGGCGCCCTTGAAAACAGAAGTGTATGCTCTTACAGCTTGGGCGCCGTCCTGGAGATCCCTCTGTGCTTGAGCCCTGGGCTGCCGTCCTGCTGTCCACCGTCTCTTTCACCCAGCTTAAGAGGAGAGAGTCTGAACTCAGGGCCCCTGCTCTGGGGTGAGGCTCCCTCGCTTGTTGGTCTTGGTCCTGCATCTTTGTTTCCTGCCTCCTTGAGGACCCCGTGTGGTGAGAGGTCCCACCACACAGCTTCCTTGTTTAATCTCTGTTATATCTCATGGATCAAAAAGATCGGAAAGAAAGGTCCCGTGGCACCGGCTTTCCCTGACAAAGACCAGCTTTCCCAAATGGCTCATGGCCGCTCACACAGAGGTCAGGGTTTACCATGTATGCATTCAGGGACATAAGTCAATCTATACATGTGCATATACAGGGAACATCGTATGGTTGAGTGTGTACATGTACACACACGTGGTTGAGTATGTGTGTGTATGCACAGGGGGTTGAGTGTGTGTGCATGGACACACGTGTGGTTGTATAAGAGTGTGTTTTAGTGATACAAAAGAAGGACTCCCCCACCTCTGCCCTAAATGACCTGGGCAGGCACCCCTCTCCAACTCCAGCTCCAGGAAGCAGGAGCCCCAGGGCCAGTAGCCATCTGCACAGCCCCCCTGCCCAACAGCTCAAGGTGTAAGCATCCTGGATCAGCTCAGGTTGCAGGCTGGAGCCCAGGCGGGGTCTCCACCCTTCTTGTCCCCCACAGGGCAGGGCGATGGCAGGCAGGCTATGTGGGGCACGGAGCTGCCTGGGGTTAGGGGAGGCTGAACCTGTAAGAACTTGATCCAGCAAGTCCTCAACAGGCAGAGGGCCTTGGGACTTTCCTTGAGGGTTCTGGGGAACGGTCGGTCGGGGCACTGATCCATCTCCACTGAGGCCCACTTACCTCAGTGCCCTGGGGCCCCTGCCCTGGGCCCAGCACTGAGTCATCAGCCCTTGGCCTGATGCTGGCCTTCAGAGGCTGTTTAAACAGCTATTTATGGACTTTGTAGCCAAAGCTCTGCCCTCCAGTCTAGAATGGAAAATTCAACACGGGCTGGAGGGGGTCTGCAGACACAGACTCTCTGTGGTCCAGCAGTGGTGTCTGGGATGGAAGAGCCCCCTCAGTGAGAGGAAAAGGGGAGGAGAACCAGATAGGCACAGCTGAGCATTGGGGGGCTCACTCTGAATCAGCAGGCCTTCTGGAGGAGAGATAGGGTGTCAGAATGAATAGGGGGGCTGGGAAGCGGCCAGAATGAGAAGCTCCAGGGGGGCACTGGAGCAAAGGCAGGGCTTGACACCCATGACAGGTGCCCCCACAATGCCAGGGAGACCAGACCAGATAAGCAGACTGAGCAGGACTGGGAGTGAGGGGGTGCTCGGTCCACAGGGCTGGTACAGGAACCAGCAAGGGGCCTGTGTGCAGGCAGAGGTAGCTGAGGTAAGAAGGTGGCCCCACCATCTATGCTCTGGCCCTACGACAGGGCTCAGGCAATTCTTTCTGAATCCCCCCTCAGAGTGAGCAAACCATCAACTTCGGCTGAGACTGACCTCCAAGCCTCCTAGTGATGTCAGCCTCTGAGGAGCCCAGCCAGTACAAAACGCCCCGCATCGATGGACCACCTGTTCCTTCCAGCTGGAGCTCAGAACAGGAAACGCAGTGTCAGGGCCAGCAGGCCAGGTGGTGTAGGGGGACCTCATTCCTGCAGAACCTTTGAGGAAGGCTTGGGGGATAACTGTGGGGATCCTGGCTCTGTAGAGGCATGGTGTCCTGTGAGCAGGCAGGAGTTGCTGCCCGCC